GAGCCACGAGTGGAGGAGTCGGTCTCAGCGCACCGAGGGAGCGCGAGGGGCCCTAAACTTGAAAACAAGACAAATCCATACCGTAGCCGAGGCGAGGTGGCTGCGAGAGCATTGTTTCAAAACTGGGAAAAGACATTGTAGGAATGAAAGCTTTTGGGAGGGGGGTGGTCTTCTCTGTACAGTGAAGATAGAAAAAGACACATGCTGGGCTCACAGCGCAACCATGCCGGAAACTTTAGAGGAACAAAGCAGTCAGACACTGTGCGATCTTGCATCCGTGGAACGTGCGGACTCAATCCTGCACTTCCTGCAGTGCAGCGGCCGCAGGACGTTCGTTGCACGCAAGCGGATGCCAAGGTGCATGTCGCCTTCTGTTGATCTTGATTCAGTGTAAGCAGAACCGTACGGAATCGTGATTCGCTTCAGGCTGAGCAGCTGAATTCCCAACCACCAGCGGCGCCACCCGAGCCACCAGCGAAGGCAAAACAGAAGCTGGCAGCCCAACAGCCTCTGGTCGGGCAAGCAGCAGAGGAGGCGCCACCCCAGCCACCAACGCTGGTGCAAGGCGATGTGGCAGCTCAACCGCCAGTCGTTGATCAAGCAGCGGAGGAGGAGGCGCTACCCCAGCCACCAACGCTGGTGCAAGGCGATCTGACAGCTCAACCGCCAATCGTTGATCAAGCAGTGGAGGAGGCGCCACTCCAGCCACCAACGCTGGATTTGGCAGCTCAACCGCCGGTCGTTCATCAAGCAGCAGAGGAAGCGCCGCCCGAGCCACCAGCGCTGGTGCAAGGCGATTGGGCAACTGAGACACCGGTCGTCGCGCAAGCAGTCAATGAGGTTGGAGTAGAGCATGAGCCTATGGCCCAGCATGAAGCCGTTGAGCGTGTGCTTCCATCCGTGCCTGCAATGCCATCATCAGAGCTGCAAGTGAAAGCTCCTGAAGCTCGGGCACTACCGCCAGTAAGACGGCCGTCTAGATCGCGACCAGCTTCGATTTCAGCTAAACTGCCGGCCGAACTGCCGGTGCCACCCGACAGGGCAGAAACTGCAGAAGTGAACACTGCCTCTTGCTTAGCTGTTTCGCCCTTCCTTGCAGGCAGGAGCCAGAAATCAGCAACGGATACAGTTGCCTAGAGACTAAGGCAATGTGCACGGTGCAGCCGCTTACCCTCACGGAGCTGAGGCGGAACTTCTCAGCTGACGCCTCAGTACAACTCTCGATCTTCCTAGCAGAATGTGGTTATTTCATTTTAGATGCATCAGCGGAAGCAGTCCTTGCAAAAAGCTATTCGTTGAGAGGGGCAAATCTCGTTGGAACAAACTGAAGATAAAGTGAAAGCTCACAAACCTAGCCCAGAAGCTATGTTTAACTACAAGAATACTTGCCTAGCATTGACTGCCACGGTGTGCGCTTCATTGCCACGGAGATGATTCCAAACCAGCCTTGACTTGCATATTTGTCTTTCATGTATCTTTAACTTGGCTTTCTCTGATTCATCGTTTTGCCATTGCTGTAGCTAGATTTGCCTCCCCTGGGACCGTAGTTGACGTGTGACGTTTGCCACGTAGTCCAGGCAGGCGAACCACGCGCGAGTTGGAACAATCCTCTAAATCTGAACTCTGACAGCTCTGACATGCCCCATTGGGGCTGCCCCATGCTTGAGATGTGAACTGTTGGTGATCTTTGCAGATGTCGCGCAGCGAAAGCCTTTCCAGAAATTTCTGGTTTTGCAGCTTTGCCATCAGCAAGCTGTGGAACTATCAGTGTTCACGAAGTCTCGAGGGTTGGTGTTACAGATCGACATCTTCGTGTGTCAACAATTCGTCACTACATGTCATGAGGATGGCGGAGGTCGGGGTCACCATCTTCTTAACTGTCGTTGTTGTTTGACTCTCACGCTTTTGTCGCGTGATAAAGCTCTGGCAGAAGCAGCAACACAAGAATTAATAGGCGATTGCATAGATGCTTAAGAGTAGTGTTCGCAGGGTTGTTAAGGGGTGGGGTCAGCCACAGAGTCGGCGCCCGCTTTCCTCGACCCCTGACCGCCCACCGCCTCCGTTTGGGTGAGTCAAGCTTGCCATAGGGGTTCTAGGTCCCTGCCTGCCTTTTTGGGGTTTAGGGTTTGGTTTTAGGATTAGTCTCCACCTGCGCTCTGCCTGCCCTCGACGCGCCCTTCGCGAAGCGATCGCGTCTTCCACAGCCTTTCCTCGTGCTTGCGTGTGTACAGCTGAGGTTTTTTTACCCTTCGTAGAAGGGTTTCTTTGCCCTGTTTTCCCGCGCCCTACACGGGGGATGCTAGCACTAGAGACTGAGGACCTTCAACCACCCAACGCCAAGATCAGTCTATAACCAATACAAGCTGTAGCATTTTTTTTGCAAGCGTTAATGGAATCTTTTGCAGCATCTCCAGTCAACAGATGCTTTAACAGAAGCTCTAGTAGAAGCTTTGCTCTAAATTCTCGTGGAAGCCTGAATACCAGCTTTAATCATGGAAGTTTGACTCTGACCGTTAAAAGTAGCTTTAAGACGAATCATGTTAACATAATTGTTAATGACAATCAGTTTCGTACAAGCGCTGGCAGAAGCCCTCATCATTAGGAGTCTAATCTATGGTTTTGTATAGGAGATGCCACAGGAGCATAAACAGAAAAGTTAATCGTTTCATGGGAGCTTCAATAGGATATCATCGGCTAGTTATGCATCGCCTTCATTTGAAGCTTTCCAGAAAGCATCAATAAGAGTCTTTACACAGTACCTGAATAGGAGCTGTACCAGAGATTTGCTAGACGCTTCAATAGCAGCGTTACTCTAAGCTTTGTTTAAATTGCGGACGAAAGCTTCATTCAGTGTGTTCTTGGTGATGTGGGGGATCGG